AGAGAGAGAGAGAGAGAGAGAGAGAGAGAATCCCAAGCAGGCTCTGCACTGTCAGCACAAAGCCCGATGTAGGACTTGACCTCAATAACCATGAGAACATGACCCGAGCCGAAATCGAGTGGTAGGTTTAACTGACTGAGCCACCCAGGAGCCCCAAGGAACACAGTTTTCATACATGGAAGTGGTGGTGATAAACTGATCCTACAACTTCAACACAAGTTATCCTTTCCGTCTAAAAACATTGTTCACTCAATTATGCCTCCAATCCATGGCAGTTGGGTTTGTGCATCTAAAAATCTACAGAAGTGATGCTTTCTACCAAGCATCTGGCCTTTAAAAATGTACCAGGCACGGCGCTATATGCTTAAAAGCATTATCTGATTTAACCTCCCAATAATGCTTATAAGGCCCAGAGAAGACCGGTAACTTGACCCAAAAGAGCCACACTGCTGCAAAGTGCTAATGCCCAGATCCTATTCTATTTTTGCCCGACTCCGGAGACCTCACTATTCTGGTTAAACTGCCTCGGATATGCGGGTTTCAGGTGAGGTCTGCAGGCACACATGGACAGATGTCTTGCACCTGTTTCTACCCACCTCGGGGTGCCCCAGTGGCAGGCACTCAGCACGGCGAGGAGCGCGTGGGGCAAGGCGCTGAGCACCAGCTGGGTGAAGCAGTGGCCCGTGGTGTCCCCCTCCCACACCGGGAGCGGCTGCAACACGCTGGTCTCGCACAGCTGGGCCAGGAGCCGCTCCATGGAGGCTTCACCTGTGGAGAAAGCCGAGGTGGAGGGAGGAAAGGTTCCTCCCAGACAGAGGGGAATCCGTGTTCCCAACGGCGAAGTCCAGGCAGGGAGCCGACACCCTGGGAGACGGAGTGGGGGCGCTAACCAAGAAGCCGGAGTGGTGTCAGAGGGCTCTGACAGCCGGGTCTGCCAGCCTCTAACCCCGCCCCCGAACCGGGACCTCCCCTCGCTTTGGCGCGGAGGCCAGACCCCGCCCATTCTCGCGTTACCTCAAAGGGAAGTAGTCTGGCTCCCCCGAGCGGGCGGATTTCTGGGCTGGTTACATACCCGACCTCGCTTTTCCCCCTCTCTTGTGTCTCTGCCCCCAGAGATCCGGAACTTCTGACCTGGAGAAGCTACTTGCCACCGGATTCCAAGATCCCGAGCACTGGTGAATGCAAGAGTCTGCTGCTGGGTTAGGGTGCTAGCCTGGCTCGCTTGGCACCCCCTATAGGCGGGATGACCTCTCTGGCGCCGTTTGCCCCGCCCATTTGCCAGGCTTTTGCGCGCGTGCGCACTTCTCTCTGCCGCCGAAGGTCTCATTGAGCCGGCGTGCTGGCGCGGCAGTCCCACCCTGCCGCGGGTTTACGCTACCTTATTTGCATAGGAACTGATGTCAGCTCTACTGCGACGTCATTTATTCACGCTCAGGTAGAGTACTAGTTCCCATCTGTCTCCTGTTTACTAGCAGGCACGTGCATTGCACTAATTCTTAAAGCTTACAGAACTGAGAAGCCCAACGTGCGAGGTACACGGACGTATAATGCCACTTAGGGACTTTTAGGCCATTTACTTCTTTACTCCAAGGCTGCATAACCTTGAGGAAGTTACTGACCTCTTTGAACGTAAGGGTTTTTTTGTTTTGTTTTTTATTTATTTTTGCCTGTACAAAGTGGGCAACAATACCAATGCCAAGGTACTGCTGAGAGAGTTGAATAAAGTGTTTAGGGCAAGTGCCTTGCTTAGAGTAGTCCCACAATAAATAAATACATTTTAGAAAAGCAGTGGGAAGAACATAAACTTTGTAGTTAGATGGACCTGGATTTAAATCCTGACTCCACGAATATTTAGTAGTGTGATCTCAGGCAAGTTACTTCTTTTTTCTTTTTCCTTTTCCTTTTTTTTTTTTTTTTTTTTTAGGGAGATAGAAGTTTGTTGAATACACCGCAAGGGAGTGGCAAGCAGGACAGCAAAGGAAAGGCTGTCTGCCTTGGACAAGTTATTGCTTCATCTTAGTTTTATATCTGTTTATTGGGCATGGTACTGGAACCTTACAAAAGGGACACTGGTACCCCACACAGCAGGGACACCTGGGTGGCTCAGTCAGTTAAGTGTCCAGCTCTTGATTTCGGCTCAGGTCGTGATCTCATGGTTGATGAAATCTAGCCCCACATAGGGCTCTACACCGACAGCTTAGAATCTGCTTAGGATTCTCTCTCTCTGCTTCTTCGCCTCCCCCGCTCACTCACACTCTCTCTCAAAATAAATAAATAAGCTTCTGGGGCGCCTGGGTGGCTCAGTCGGTTGGGCAGTGAACTTCAGCTCAGGTCATGATCTTGTGGTTTGGGAGTTCCAGCCCCACATTGGGCTCTCTGCTGTCAGCTTGGAGCCCACTTTGGATCCTCTGTCTCTCTTTCTCGGCCCCTCTTCCACTAACGTGTGCTCTCTCTCTCTCAAAAATAAACATTAAGGGGCGCCTGGGTGGCGCAGTCGGTTAAGCGTCTGACTTCAGCCAGGTCACAATCTCGCGGTCCGTGAGTTCGAGCCCCGTGTCAGGCTCTGGGCTGATGGCTCAGAGCCTGGAGCCTGTTTCCGATTCTGTGTCTCCCTCTCTCTCTGCCCCTCCCCCGTTCATGCTCTGTCTCTCTCTGTCCCAAAAATAAAAAATAAAAAAAAAAACGTTGAAAAATAAACATTAAAAAATAAATAAACATTAAAAAAATTTTAATAAACTTTTAAGTAAATAAAGTTAAAAAATAGCTCAACAAATAACTATGATTACCCCATTTAATCTCAGTAGGATGCCTCATATCTCTAATGTCGGGAATTAGTGTTCCTATTTTTGCAACTTAAGAAATGTAGATTTGCATTTCACAACCACTAATAATTAATGAATCATTTAGGCAATGATCACCAATGGCTGCTAACCCACAAAAAGAGGGACAACCAGACATTGTATGCTTCCTTATGAAAAATAAAATATTCTTGTCAAAAAATCTAACTTGAATCTGATCAAGTCACTACATCTGATTATCTACTGGCAGGAAATATAGAAGACAGTTAAGCAGTACAACAGAGGTATCTGCAAGTAGGCAGATGTTCACAAGTTTATGTTAGCCACTGTAAATAAATACATCATTCTATACAGACGCCTGAGCTAAAGTGTATCTCATTGCCTGTGTACAAAGCAGGATGGGGTGAAGTTAAGTGTGGGGATCTAAGAGCCAGAGGACAAGAGGACTCTTTTTTAATTTTTAAAAAATGTTTATTTTGAGAGAGAATGAGTGGGGGAGGAGCAGAGAGAGACAGGGAGAGAGAATTCCAAGCAGACTGCACTGCCAACTCACGAACCATGAGATCATGACCTGAGCCGAGATCAAGGTGGACGCTTCACCAACTGAGTCACCCAGGCACACCAAGAGGACTCTTTAGAAAGTCCACTTCTGAAAAGAGGGTAAGAGGGGTAGTTAATGCTTCTGTTAAAGATTACTCTTCCTTTGCCATCTTCCACTCTAATCCATGGTCAGCTAGGTGCTCAGGCACACTGGGAGGGCCCAAGTTTCCACTGACCATCTGAAGAAGGTGGTGCAGGATGTGGCTCCCTCACTTTCATAACACTCCAGTGCCCTAATTTTCCATTGAAAGCTGGGCAAAGGAGTCACCACTCTAGCAGGATAATTTCTGACTGTCACAAACAACCAAATAATTTACATTTTCCCCAGAACACAGAGGAGGAAAAATCATTTGAAACAAATTATTTCTCCAGTCCGTATAATTTGGCCCTATAGTTTCACCTAGATTCCCAGAGAAATTTTATCCCATAGTTTCTAAAAAACGAGGCCAAGGGTACAAGTCTGTCTGCTTCCTTCCACTTTGGGGGAGTTGTTAGTAAGTGGAGTGACACCCAGGTGCAAATATGAGGTGGAGAGGAGGAACTCAGTGGTCACTAGTTAATTCACAATCTGTAGAGTGGAAGGATGGCCAAATTTGCACTTAAAATAAACAGACAAATAAACAAACCTTAATACTCACATATCCTAGAGAGGTCACCATACACTATGCAGGGCCACAGAGCAAGCACCAGCATTGGTCAGGAGGCAGAGCACAGTTCATGGCCTTTATTGGGCTTTCCACGGAAAAGGCAAGGCAAGGCAGAAGGAACAGTTTAGAATTGGCTAGTTTGAAATAATTTTGGTCAGCTGTAAGCTATAGGGGTGGTCCCTAGTAACCTGGTACTGGGAACTGGCATGATTTAGGGTGAGGGAAATACAGTTTACCCTTGAGCAATGTGTGGGTTAGAGTCACCGACACACCCTATCCCCCACCCTGTGCATAGTCAAAACTCTGCACATAACTTTTGACTCCCCCAAAACTTTACTAATGGTCCACTGATGCCTGGAAGCCTTACTGCTAATGTGAATAGTCAATTAACACATATTTTGTATGTTATATATTTTACATACTGTATTCGTATAATTAAGCTAGAGAAAAGAAAATGTCATTAAGAAAAATATAAGGCAGAGATTGTACATTTATATATTCATTGAATATATAAATTGAATATATAATATTGTATATTCATTGAAAAAAATCCAGGTATAAGTAGACTTTCAGTTCAAACCCATGTAGTTCAAGGGTCAACTATATTGGCTTAGTGTGTGAGAGTTAGATCAGAAGGTATTTGGGAGTATAAAATCTGGATGGGTTGGTTTGCATGTGAAAGGCATGCTTATAGGCTAGCCTGGGAGAGGCAGTCTCTCCCCAGCCAGAAAGGTTTTTTAACATGTTAAAATGTCATACAGAAAAATTTTTAAGTATTTACAATACAACATGTTTATCTTATAACATATTTTAAATATTTTTTTTGTCAAAATCTCTGAGCTGTATATTTTTAACTCATTAAATGTATGGAAAATGTCTGCCATATAAATGTACTGATAAAGTCTGTCCTCAAATACGTCATCTTCCAATTGAAATAAACAGGTTAATAATGACCCTGTAATAACAACAATATCTCACTCTGAAGTTTATGCTAAATAGACTAAGAAGATATGGCATCTTGCCATGAATTTATCTTTGAAGGAAATAAAGTGACCTTATCTGCTGTACTTTTTTTTTTAATGTTTATTTATTTTTGAGAGAGAGAGAGAGCGGGGAAGGGGCAGAGAGAAGGGAGAACGAGGATCTGAAGCGGTCTCTGTGCTGACAGCAGAGAGCCCAATGCAGAGCTCAAACACAGGAACGGTGAGATCATGACATGAGCCAAAGTCAGACACCCGACTGACTGAGTCCCCCAGGAGCTCCTATCTGCTATATTTCTTACCTACATTCTCTTTGCTTTGTTCTCACAGGACACTTCCTCAGGAGGAGCTTTGACACTAGCCAAAGAGCAGAAGAGGGGAAGTTAGTAGGTGAAAGTTCCTTTTATCCTTTCACTTGTTGATGGAAATTTGGGTTGTTTCATTTGTTTGTTTGACACTGCTTACTAATCCAAGGAGAAAATTAAGGCACTTGCCACCACGCCTACCACTGACACTCTGCTCTCCTCCTGCTATGGCTATACTGTCTCTGCTCCCAAGGCCAACTCCTTGACTTGGGTATTGGATCTCTTCTCTTCTCAACTATTCAGGGACACTGCACCTGCCAGCCATGTAGCTAGCCCTCTGTTTGTCCTGTTCCCATCATCTCCATCAGCAAATATATAAAGCCATGTGATCTTCCACTGCAATTGTTCTCATGGTCCATGGTTTTGT